GAACACATTTAAAGATGCAAACTCAGAAAGGTCAAGATGCCAGTGTTCCATCCAATTGATTTTTCTTGCCCTGACCAAGGTTCCGTTTTGGCGATACCCATCCGTATGTGCTGTGCCCTCCACCATACCTGCTGAACTTGAAGACACTCCTGGCCTTGCGTTTGAACCTTTTCTGGGTGGACGATCCCGGCTGCAAGGAAGTTGCCGTGCGCGACATCTACCGAATGGAGTTCGAAGTCTTCCAGTCATTGGGCTGGGTGCTCTTCTATTTGGCTGCAGTCATCATCTTCAGCACACACATGTGCCTAGGTTGGCAGAAGGTCGTCCCCGCACCAGCCTTGGAAATCCCTAAGAAGTACCATGGCAGGGCCATCCACATGGGCTACATCTTCACCATTTTCATTGCCCTGGTCTATGCCAGCTTCCCGTTCTATTGCCACATTTTCAGCATGTCTGGCGGTAGCCTGAGTGGCGAGCCAGCGACACCCTAGAAATTCTGCTCCCATTCCCAAGCTCCAGAGCTCCACGATAGCTGCAGGGTGGGGCGATGTTGTGGAAACTATTCCTTCAACCAGTCAAAATCTTCATGATTACATATGATTAGTAGGTTATTACGGCCATTTTTCCGTTTTTCCTCTCACCTCCCCTTTGAAGCAGGATGCCCCCACCCTGGCCAAGCAGCGAGCTTGGCTTCACCCAAAAATGGAACGCGGCGAAAAGTGGCCAGCTTGGGCGGATGAAAGACGGTCTTTTTCTAAAGTGAAGACGTGTGTTCATTTTGCTGCCAGGACGGGAGTATGAGTGTTTCTCTGAGAGTGCCACATTGACGCTTCACATTCATTTGACCAATGCAAGTTGGCTCCATCTGAGAAGCCTTTTTTGAAGCCTTGTGCGCGAGCCTCCAGGTCCCTCGCCGTTGAGAGATAGCTGAAAGTTCATGTTTAGACAAGGCCTGAAGTCTTCGCAGATAAGGTTAAAAGAACGTACACTGGTATTCACTACTATCGTTTTTTTTTTGGTTGTTTTTCCTCGCATGCTTGAAACAATTCCCCAGGTTTCGGGACTTTCGGGACTTTCGATGTCTTACAATTTGGCGGAGGTCGCCAAGCACAACAGCAAGACAGATTGCTGGGTCGTGGTGGATGGACAAGTCCTTGACGTGACATCTTTCTTGTCGGAGCATCCGGGTGGCGAGCTTGCGATCATTACCTTTGCAGGCAAGGATGCCACTGAGGAGTTTAACATGAACCTCGGCCACCATAGAGCGTCTACAGTAGCTAGCGATGTTCTGCGTACTGAGTAAGCCGCATGTTGGGCTTTGTGGCTCTCGGCTTGGGAGCCTTTTCAAACGTCTTGTGGTGGCTTCGGGGCATTCCAGTACCTCTTGGTCGCTTCTAATGGTCCAAACAATGTTCACAGAGTTATGCAAGCTTCATGCACTTGTAGATGTTTAGGAAATGATTGAAGCCCATCAGACCAAACCCGATGGCCCGTCCCTGCATTAATTCCATGAAAATCAACAAACGCATTATTCTCCTATTGTCGCTCAAGAAGGAGTGTTCCGGCGATGCCGATGAGACGGATCTCCCAAATTGTCTGAATGAAGCTTTGAAATCCTAGACTATGACAAAAGTACAAAGGTGACCATTTTGACATGTGCGTATATCATCCTTAGACTACAAAGCTTGGTAAACTCATGAGCAAAACCCAGACAGATGCTGCATTTCCCGATGACCGCTCCCTGATGCAATAATTTTGGAGTGACCTCATAGTATCTCCATGTTCACTTTTGTCATGGCTTCCACGTTGCTCTTTTGGAGAGGAGGCTTTCTTTGCTTTCTCGACTTGTAGGACTCAAAACAGCATCCATCCGACGTTGCTGAGATTTCCTTTTTCGATTTGAGGATCCACCCACCAGATGTTATTGGAAAGTACGCGCCCGACTCCATCATTGGCAAAGTTGGTGCTGGAGGCGCAGCTCCTGCAGCACCTGTGGCCTCTGGCGGCGGCGGCGGCGGTGGTGGAATGACTATGGCTGAGGTTGCCAAGCACAACAGCAAGAGCGACTGCTGGGTGCTTCGGTCGCAAGTGCCAGTGGTAATGGTATGGCATTCTTATAACGTTTGGTTGTTGTATGATTTTGTATGAACTTTTTTCGTTGGGTGCTTGGATTTGCAACATGATTTCTTTGCCGAAGTTTGTCCAAAAGCTTTGCATCTTGAGGTTGTCGTGGATGGCCAAGTTTTGAACTGCACCCAGTTCTTGTCCGAGCACCCAGGCTCCGTGTCTGTACCTCATTCTATCCTAACTGCCGCCGCTGTTTTTCTTTAAGCAGGCGGTGAGTTGGCAATCCTGACCTTTGCGGGCAAGGACGCAACAGAGGAGTTCAACATGAGCCTCGGCCACAGCTTGGTGAAGCGCGCAGCGGAGCGCTTCCGCGACCTGCCGACCTGTCCAATCAAGCCTGCGCTCCCTTCGGGCGGTGAAGGATTCCGAATGCGTCCAATGAGTCCTGTGAGATCTGTGAGTGCCTCAAGGAAGTCGCATGAATGTTCGTCGGCTTTCCAAGGATCCACCCGCCCGATGTGATTGGAAAATATGCCCCTGACGCGATCATTGGAAAGCTCGGCGCCGGTGCTCCGGCCGCAGCGCCTGCTGCGGCGGCGCCAAGTGCATCCCAGCCTCTCTTGGACAAGGGACACCAGGATTGATGACATTTTCAGACATGCAAGCTTGGTGATTTAATACCACGTGTTTTGAAACGCATTTCCCAAAGAGAAAGTTCTCAAGAGACCAAAGCATGCTTGGTTTAGATGATTCGTTCTTGGTGCTCACCGCAGGGAAAGAACTGGTCCAAATCTGAGAAGAACCGCGAAGTGCGAATGAAGGGCGAGGGCAAGGTTAGTGGATGGATTGGTGCTATCATGTACATGGTCCTGGGATTCCTGAAGGAGGTTCTTTTCACCATTTTCCCGCAGAAGAATGTGAACTTCAGCAGTGATCGTGTTGGACTCACCCGCTCAGCCATGTTCCTCTTTGTTTTCATCATTATCCACGCAGTTGGAAACTTGCATGTCTTCCTCGGACCAGATGACTTCAACGGCTACGGCTACTTCTACGTCCGGCTGTACTGGACAGGTTTCGGTCTGCAAGCCAACATCGTGGAGGAATACATCCTGCTGGCCGCATTGCTGCACGTTGTGGTTGCAATCAAAAGGACCTGGGACATCAGTGTGAACTATGCCCTGAACTCTGGAAAGATGAACTTGGCCATCTCTGGCGTGACCCTTCTGACCTTCATGATGATTCACTTGTACCAGTTCCGCTTCGGTGCAACACAGCCTTGGACACTGTGCCCTCCACCATACCTGCTGAACTTGAAGACACTCCTGGCCTTGCGTTTGAACCTTTTCTGGGTGGACGATCCCGGCTGCAAGGAAGTTGCCGTGCGCGACATCTACCGAATGGAGTTCGAAGTCTTCCAATCATTGGGCTGGGTGCTCTTCTATTTGGCTGCAGTCATCATCTTCAGCACACACATGTGCCTCGGTTGGCAGAAGGTCGTCCCCGCACCAGCCTTGGAAATCCCCAAGAAGTACCACAGCAGGGCCACCCACATGGGCTACATCTTCACAATCTTCATTGCAGTAGTCTATGCCAGCTTCCCCTTCTATTGTCACATCTTCAGCATGTCCAGTGGCAGCCTGAGCAAAGAGCCTGCAACACCCTGAAGCCATGTTTCCTTCCCGCTCTCGCATAGTTTGATCACACGTCGTGAGTTCTGAGCCACCGCAAGAGAGGACCCAGCTGCAATGGCTTTGGTGAAAACACTAATTTGCACGTTCGAGGGCTTTTCGTTCTGGCCTGCTGTGCTTGTAGCGTGTCAACTTTAGTCGAATGACTTGCACTGTTGGATACTGACTTTGAATCAATGTAGCGTGAACCTTTCTCCCGCGAGCTTTTTCTTACTCAATTTTTGGAAAGGACGCGAGTTCTCGCAGGCTGGACAGACCTGCAGACAAAAGCCATGTTTGAGCCAAAGCGGATGGGACTCTATTTATGACAGTTGACTGGCTCCGTTTCAGTGCAAAAAAAAGGCACAATCTTCCTAACCTCAAGAGAGCGGTAGACGGATTCGGTTGTGGCTTACCGATTATATATGGCTTTGAGATCCAAGATCTCCCTCGGTGCAATGTGAGACGTGGATGGTTCCTCCGTTGTTGAGGTCTGCGATATCGCACAACAGTCAACGGTTCATGATAGCCAGCTAGAAATTGTCATCAGAAACATCATGTGAGTCCGTCAAAGATCCTCCAAACGTGAGCTATGCAACATGATGGTACAACTGCACACAGCTGCACCCATCAACCTCCGTCAGGAAAGATACTGTAGCGATCAACATACCGATCCACAACTAAAACCCAATTGTGGCATGTCGGGCCCAGCCCCCCCCCAGAATCCACAATTGAAGAACTCACGATGCTGACAAGGCACTCTGTGCAGCATGTTTTCCTTCCAGGACTACCACGCCCTTCCAGCAAGCCCCACCGTGTGGGTAGATTGACAGAGTTTGAGCTTCATCCGCTCATTTTTCCATTTAACTCCCTATTGAAAACTCCCTATGACGCCTATTTTATCTTGTAAAAACATGTATTGATGCCTGATGTGCCAAACGAACGTGTCCCAGGCCATGGCGTCGACTTTCCCTACCAACCAGGCCATCGTGGTGGGCGGCGGCCTGGGAGGCCAGAGACGGATGGAGCGTTTCCTTACTTTATATTGTCTATTACTAGTAGCTACTTGCTCCTAGTAGTAAGGCACTTGTTACTAGAAGCG